ACCGCCCCGGGGGTGATTCATTTTCCTTATAATTATGTGTATAACAAAAACTTAAAAAATCTCGTTTGAAAAAACCCAAATAGCTAGAGTTTAGTTATTAAGCACGAAGCATCTTCTAGTGAGTGTCTACAAAGTTTGTTCGAATAAAAGCCCAAGGGTCAAAATTGGCCCCGCCCCGGGAGACATTGATTTTCCTAATATGTGTATAGCAAAAACTTAAAAATCTTCTTTGAAAAAAAACCGAATAGCTAGGGTTTAGATATTAAGCATGAAACATTTTCTAGTAAGTGTCTACAAAGATTGTTAAAATAAAGCCCTGAGGTCAAAACTGGCCCTGTCCCAGGTGTGTCATTGTTTTTAACTATATGTGTAAAGAAAAAACTTGAAAAGCTTGTGATTTTAGACCGGCTATAAGCAAACTCATATCATCTGAATGGAAAGCAAATTTGGACAATGCGGTTTTTAAAAACGTTACGCTATAAACCTCTCTTGGCACCCAATCTCTATCTGTCAAACCGCCATGATCAAATAGTTCTTCTTCGATGCGAATTGGACACACTAAAAGTACGACCTTACTCTCACAAATGATAATGCCCCCTTTCTGTGTAGGCTTGTAAATGAAATTTTACTGTCAAACACTTTCTTCTTGAATGTCATGATTTTACACAGGCCCGTAATAGAATTTATCATGTAAACTCACCCAAAGAACTCTTTAATACAATTCATCAAAAAACTTGATTATTTGAAAGAGATAAACTTGTACTTTAGGATTAATTGACTCATTTTTATTGTCATTTACAAAACATTACATAACATTTTAAGTTGACATATGTGTTGACGTGGTGTAAAAATCCAAACAAACAAATTTTCCGGCAATTAAAGAGAACACGTATAGGATATGTCATCTTGAATGCATATAATGTTTATTTAATGACGGATGCATTCACAAAGAAAATATTACTGTAACATCAGCACAATTGTTTCGAAACAAAAGCTTAATGACATTAACTGTGTCGGTTTAACCTAAAACCCAATCAATCAAACAAACACACAAACATAAAACATAGAACTTTCAAAGCAAACAATTATCTAAAAAAATCATGTGTTAATTTCTCTTCTTATTTTGAGATAAATATAAATTCATTAAATACTAACTTGTCTTATTTTAACTATATAGAAACACTTTGTTCTTTAAAAAACAATTTTTTTAATCCAATGTATAGAATTCAATGTTTTACAGTGTATAAATGTATTTTGTACTAATCACTACATTTCATAGTTCCTAATAGTGCATTACTGAACGGTTTTATACATTTCTTTTATATTTTATAAGTGAGACTTTAAAAAGAATAGTGGTTTTGTTTGTTGTTTAATTAGAACATATACATTTTATCCGGAACTTATTGTCAGGAGGAGAGTTATCTCCTTTTTATTTTTTTACCATGCTTAAGAAATACTACTTTTTACTTTTTCTTAAACTTCTTTTAAAGGAACTCCACTGAGGTTCAAAAGTCTAATATCATAAAATTATTCTTTTACACAGATCAGCTGGGGCACGTAAAACAGGAAGACATGCAAAAAATAATTCAGAAATATACTAAAAACTGAACTGAATTGCGTATTTTTGTGCTATTTTTTGATACGATTTGAGTTAAAAGCGTTTAAACGCATTTGAATTTTGCTCATTTTTCACAATTTGAATGATTGTCCTGGATAAACCGCAAAAGCGAATGATCTAAAATTTTGCACACAAGTTACTGATCTAGACCTACATCAAACTGAGCATTAATCTCAAAAAATATTTCCAGTTTCGTCATGTCAAAAAACCTCAGTGGAGTCCCTTTAATATTTTTGATTCAAAATTCATTGACGTGTTTGTTATATGGTGAATAAGATGTTTTAGTTTTCTATATTGATACTTAGATAGATGTATTGTACTTTCCCCATATTTTCCCCATATTTGGTTTTGCTGATCTGTGTAAAATATTGAATTAGTCGAGCGACCTGACTCATCTAATAGTTCTTGTTTTTTAAGTTTATTTAATAAGATATTACTCTTAGATGTAATAACTATTTAATGCAAACTTTCTTATCAAGCAGACTGATCGATCCAATGCATTATTACGCGATAATGCCCTGAATAAGGAATAGATGGTAAATTATTGGTCCACATATGTTGTTTAATAAGAAAAGATTATAATACATAACATGCGGTTTTTTTGTAAAAAGATACATGGTTTATCTTTGAATTCCTAGTAATTTATAAATTAGGACAATGACATTCGTGACGTTTAAATTTCCCTTTAAAATAACATATTTCGGTCATAATATTCTGCAGGCTCTTTACAGTATACGTATAACTTTCATATTGTTCGGTAATTTTAAAGTGTTTTTAAATTTCTTTAGTTTCATTTTGTCTGAATATCTTTTAAGATTCGTCACATTTTTATTATAAAAGCCTTACTTTTTTCTAATAGCATTATAATGTGACAGCTTTTATTATCAGCAACTTTGATTTTTTTGTGAGTAAATGGATGTCATTAAAGCATTATTATTGATGTTTGTGGATATTTTCTTTTTAAAGTGCATTCAATTCTGTCTGTATAGAATATGCCATGTATCGTTACTGTCAAATATTGTTACGTCACACGTGATGTCATAATTAAAGTGATCGAAGGTCCTTATGATGCTGTTAAGAGTGTGTGTTTTGGGGGCACACTGGACTGACAAGTTAGACTATCAAAATATATTATTTGAGCATCCATACTGATTTTATAAAACTATGTCTTTATATTCCATTTACACTCCCTGATTCTGTAATATATAACGATCACAGAGTCATAAATGTTCTTTAGTTTGCCTATTAGGTCATAAAACAGCGAGGGATTTTCGATAATTTTATTTAAGTCATCCTATAATATATAAGATAATTAGCAATTTTGTGAGCATTTTTTATAAGTCATCCTATTTTATGAGATAGCGAGTTTTTTTTAATTATTTTTTTTAAAGTCATTCTATTTCATAAGATAGCGAGCATTTTTTTAAGTGTCTTTTGGTAACATGCAATAGTTAAGAAAATATATGACAATTTAAACAGCTAAAACGAGTAACATATTAATGGCTGTATATGTTTAAAGGTTTACATTTTTATTTTCTTATTATTATCTTTATTTTCTTCTAAATAAGTCGTTGTCTGGCACGCCATTTGTTATTGAAGACAGACATGAGACTAAAATGATTTGTTGTATAAACGCTATTGCATGCAGTTTTGCAGAATAGATTGAAATATTCAAATTTATACATTCTCAATCGACGAAAACATAGGGTAGAGACTAATCTTATAAAGCTGTCGTATAATTTCTATACACTCGTGTAATTTAGTTTTTGTTCTCCCGTTAGACTTTTTTCCCTTGTGGCTGAGGGGTTGCCTTAACGAGATGGGGCATCAGAATTGCAGCCGTCGTTCAAATCTGTGTGGTCGCAAAAGGCGTCTAAATGGGTTCGAATAACTGGAGATATCTTAACTCCAGTAGGTGAGGCGGTTTTCACAACTAGTGTTGCTTTTGATTTGTTACACCCGAGGTTAGCCAATATCAATGTTCCTGTTTCGGTGCCATATGACCTAAATTATGTTGATGCTTCGTAAAACCAAACAAAAGCAAACAAATAATTGATTCCAGTTAGTTTATCCATATAGGTTTATAAGGTTTAGTACCACTTTAGTCAGAATTGGGGGATGAGGGATGTTGCACTTTTTCATTATCCCTCATGTACACACACAATCTGCAATGTTCATGTAATTTTGTTGTGATTAATGGTCCCGAGGGAACACTCTTTCTCCCGATTTTGATGAGAAGTATTTCAGAACAGATAAAAAAATTACATTTAAAGCCTATATACAGTACAGAAACATTTTAGAGTCACGTTTTTTTTTTCAGTCATTGGTTTAGATGTGGCGTGGTGCCACTTCGACTAGATTCTTGGCGTTATGTTGAATTCTGCTTAAGCGGTGCTACGGGGCTACTTTCCAGTACCGTCCATGAACAGGCTCAATCTAACCGAGCCTGCAACATTTTACAATTTTGTCGTGTTGGGCTTTATTTTGGGATTCTGTTTTTCTCTAATTTATGAAAGATTCCCTGAATCTGAAAGAGTGTGTCCATTTTGCAAAGACTGTTAAAAAAGATATCCATGTGCTACTGTCCAACTTACTCTGTTGATAGGAATCTATTTTTTTAAAAGGCATTTATGTTTGATACAAATTTTAAATTAATTCATGTTATTGATAAGTTTCAATTTCAGTTTACTCACCCAGAAATGATACGTACATTAGCAAAAACCTGCTGTAATATATTGAAACTTCGAAATAACACTTTGTATAATAGAAAATGTAAACACAATATAGACTTTAAATTATTGATATGTCTTTAGTCAAATATTTCATTAAACTCTTAATAATTTTGTATTGACTTGTTAAGATATATTTGATCTCGTTACAAAATTGGACTGTATTTTACATCAGTTTAAATATGACCTACCATGTTTTAACCTAAATTGAGTTGCATTCTGTATAAACAAGGTAATTCTGCTAATAAGTCCACTCCTAATCAAAAGATAGCCTTTTGACAAATATTACTATAAAAATGCACACTTCTTGAAAGTCTGTATTTATATAGTGATCTTTTATTAAAGGTGTTGATGTTGGCAGATTTTATATTTGGTAGCATGTGATGTTTTAATATTTATTTAATACGTAATGTATTTGCATAGATATAAGTATGTGCGTATGTATTTTATATATACACATATACATGCTTGTTATATAACAGACTATAGTTTAAATTGCAAAATATGTAAAATATCGTTAGTATCTTGTTATTCTTCTTAAGGATATGTATTATGTAATGTTTATCTTTTATGTTGAAATATACGTAATTTTGCACAGATGTGACTTAAATGAATAAATATTGGTCAATATTTTTAACATGATGTAAAGTACTTTTGTCATATGTAAAAATCAATGTACTGGTTAGGAAATATCTAAATAAAGGCGTATTTGCCACGTCGCATTTCATTACGTAAGTCTCATGTAATATCGTGTAAGTGATACAGAAAAGTCTATACAATGGGAAGCAATTTATACTGGATAATTGTAAGTTTTATTGATACAAATTTCTTTAAAAGTTCTTTGTCAAACCTTGTTCTGTTAATAAGGAACTTTTATTTTTATAAATTAACTTAACCTTTTGTTTTCTTGTTATAAAAAATATAATAAAAGATGCGGATTATAGGAGAATTAATTGTCAGTAGAACCATTGAAATAAGTTATCATGTTTTCTAACATTTTAAATTTTTAATCTGCCAAATATTTGCTATTTCAAAATAAAAATGTTTATTTGTAAAATTTAAGGATCTATATACTATGATTATAGACCTTTTAATGACGCAGTCCGTTGCTATAAAAAATTGACCGGATGTAAAATTTTTTGTGCACGCGCAAACTGCGTTCGCCCTACATAGAAATGTAGTAGAAGTGCAAAGACAATTCTGAGTTAACGGTATAAAAAGATGTGTATTAAATAAATTTGAACAAAAAAGCAAAATATTCTTCGGTAGCTTTGAGCCCAAAATTGCATTTGTAATAAAAACACATATGATTGTAAGAATTCCCTTCGTCACCAAGTCGGACTAGAAAATCATTAAGATAATTGTTGTAACAATGTGAAAATATATGAGCCGCGTCACGACAAAACCAACATAGTCCAAAACCAACATAGTACGTTTGCGACCAGCATGGATCCAGACCAGCCTGAGCATCCGCGCATTCTGATCAGGATCCATGCTGTTCGCTTACCAACTCTATTACAAGTAGAGAAACTGATAGCGAACAGCATGGATCCTGCTCAGACTGCGCGGATGCGCAGGCTGGTCTGGATCCATGCTGGTCGCAAACCCATTATGTTGGTTTTGTCATGACGCGGCTCTACCATTATCAAAAAAAAGAAAGATCTACTTTACTCTTTTTGAAATAGTTCGTATAGAATAAAGAGATTTATGTAACATATGAAATCGAAGTTTTTGTTTTGTAATTTTATCCTCTATCCGATTTGCCTGTGATACAAAACGGTCATAACTATATGTTTTAGTTACTTAACAAAATCTCGAGAAGTTAAGAACATTTCCTAAATAGGAATCGAAAAAGCAAACATTTTCATCACGTTTATCGCAAAACATTTTCAAAATCTAGGCAAATGAATCCCACACTTTTTGTCACACAAAATTAATTTCAAACATCATTGATAAGATAGGTACATGTAAAATTTATCAAATTTATGATAAATTACGATTATCTATAAGAAATGTCATGGCACTTTAACGTACCGGTTGAATAATATAAGCTAGCTGAAAAACAACCGGTCACGTGTCCATATGTTTGACACTTACCCACTTGCCAATCCTCATTAAAACAAAGACAGTCTGCACTTCTAGTTGTGTAATAAAATTTTATTTTAAACATCTTGTTGTTTCATTATAAATTTCTGATGAAAAAGCCGTCTCTTGATACTTTAAACAGAGGACTTTAGTACGGATCATTGGCATTGTTAATCCGCATATTTTCTTATACATTGTATCATACTGTATATATTATAAGTAGCAAGTCAGATTTTACGAATTTACCGCTTTAAATCATGAAAAAATACTGTTTTCAGGGTGACATAACTTCAAATCGCGTTAATTAAAACACTCATATGTTAAAAAGTATGGCAGTGAATTCGCATTCACGACATTCTAGGAGTTCGTTGCTTTAGTAATGACACGTGTAAACCTTTGTACAAATTAACAGATATATCAAAGTGACACTTTTCAGCACACTTAAATGCAAGAGATGGTCCTTCAAATATGAAAGAAGCTGAAATACTGTGTAACTGCAGAAATGTTAAAGTTATTACTTTAATTTTCAATTGCATCGGTTATTTATCAAAATAAACTTTTTTTTAACTTATTGTCAATAATCTAGATTATATCAAAGGGTTAATGAAGTTGTTGAATACTATTAAATCTGTTCTTTTGTTATAGCTTGTTTTGCCCTGTACAGAATGCGCATGCACTAAATGCTCTTCCGTTTCTATGGAAATATCGTATTGAGAAAATTTCTATAGACACATTACACATACTATGCTTATCTTTTCATTTAACAATTTTAGTGTAAGAATTTATTCAAATCTAGGACAGTCTTACTAAAAATGCCTTATTTGGATATGGGAATTCACAAACTATATGAAGCAAGCATTCCCTATTACTGATAAAGTTGATTTGGTCCTTTCTTTACAAAAAACAAAACACCAGATTTTATGACACAATGTTTTCATACTGTGTTAATCTATAATGAGCTTAAAAAGTAACATATCTTCGCTGTGTGTTCTTAAAATATGTTTAGCCATTATCACCGTAATTCTCAAAGATCAAATTTGATTTAAATATATCTTTAAATCTCCATTAAATAAAATATGTAAACATATTTTTCTGTCGGCTTAAAAACCAAGCATTAAATAGTGTCGTTAATATTTTTAACGGTTTTGTTGTAAATCTCAATAAAAATTGCTCATAAGTAATGATTTTTAAAGGAAAACCCCACAGTAACATTAAAGTTCGTATACGAGTTTTAACATGCAGATGAAGACAAGTATAATTAGCTCGTGCGTGTGCTAAGTCACAGTGGTAAATCTGTTGCACAGCAAATATGAGAAATTCTTGTGAAAACAAACTTTTATTGTTTTAGTTTCACGGTACATTTGCCCTGTCGTTAACAAAAAGGTAAATCACCTCATAAAAAAGATCGATTTTGTATAAAAACATCCGTGACATTATGCGGAAATGTACTGTTAAATTCAGACTGCTACGTAAAATATGTTTGTTGATTTTCAATTGATGTACGAACGACCAAAGGCGGAGAAATAAATATAAATTGTACTTCCAATTTTGCCACAATGAAGTTTCAGAATTTTAGGGTTATAAAACTCAGTTTGGTTGTCTGGATACCAAAATAAGAACGAGAGTCGATATGAAACACATTTAATGTAGCTATTTCTTTTTTATGAACTTTATCAAATGTAGCTTTAAAGGTAACAACTAACAGAAAATTTGAAATTGCTGAATTTTGTGTTCATACATTTAGCGTTTATCAATAAGCATACAGACTACACTGGAAAGCGGATTGTTACTAAAAAGACGATGTATGGAAAAAAGAAATGCAATGACAGTTTCAATGTCGAGACTATTTGCAATATGTTGTAAAATTGAAATAACAATTTGACCTAAACATCGCTCTATATTTTTAATAACATTATATGCAAATCTATATTTATCCAACAATTATCCTCATAAACTGCAAAAAAGATATGCCGTACGAAATCTGCTGTGGTCATAGTATTATTTTTACAATAGCTGTAGCTCTTAAATTTGGTTTGCTATTGCTAATCATGGTCATGCAACTACATAGTTAGGTTAAGAAGCAGACGCTTGTTTTGGTTGAGTCTATCATGTTTTGTTTAGGGGGTGAGTTGTCATACACAAATTTACAATTTTTATGCATTTATTTTTTCCAATGATTGTTATTATCTTAAATGCTTCTGGGATTGCACATCCCGCTGTCTATGTTTCTTTGTTGACTGAATTGTTTTGGTCTCTACACATGTATTACTTCCATGTACATTATTGCACGAAACACTCGTGTAGTCCGATAACAAAGGCGAGGTAGCTGGACGTTTATTTTTCCTTGTTTTTGCCGATGTTGAGTTATTAACCGGTGTATTATTATTATTATTCGACATCAGCTAGGTGTATCAAGAAGTACATTCAACTATTTAGTAATCCAAAAAGTCCTTTATAACTTGTTAATTTGAATTTTTTCACAGAGCGGTAAAATTTTACATCTCACTGTACACTTGTCACGTGACGAAAAAACACATCGATATCATTACAATCAGGCAGAGAAAAAGAGTAAATCGATTATCTTTATGTAGCAAACAAACTTTGAATTAAACTTTGAATTGCAAATTTATTTTCATATCTTTTCGGTAGGATAAACCAGGCATTTTCGTATCATAAAATGGCTACCGTTTGCAGTATCAAGTGATTATCCAAAGCACCACCGCGACTTAGCATTGGAATAATAAAAATAGCTAACCTCGGCACATCGTATAGGATGGAAAATATCTTTTACATATTTTATTGTAGTTAATATTAACAAACTGTGTCTTTCGGGTTTGTTTTATCAATATATAACCAATTATGATGTTAATCATATCTCAAATCTGCGACTATGATTTACAATAAAATTCTACCTTTAGTGTATTAAAATGGTATTTAATTTCCTGTAGATCTAATTTCTTATTTTGCTGATTATGCTTCAATGCCAGTCAATTGACCGTGAAATTTTCTTTTCATATTTTTGATTTCTTATGAAATCATTTTTTTTTTCTCATCTGAAGGCATGCAACTTTAATATGTTGATACATTAATTACAGTCATGAAAATGTTTAAAGATATAAAATATCTCATGACATGTTTGTTCATTTTACATTACACATACGTTCCCCCTCCGGCAAAGCATTTTAAGGCAACATTGATAACGCATTTATTGATAGTTTCCGTTCTTAATATGTTTTCGTTTCGTATGGTGCTAAAATAACATATTACAAGATACAAGATACAAGAAACTTTATTTTAAGTCGGTTTACATATTACAAGAAACATTAGCTAATAAGCTATTTACCGACAATAACAAAGGCATAAAACATATTTACTAACATATTGTATAAACTAACGTCATGGAATGTATACATATCAGTAACATGTATCATGTAATTTATATTAGAAAATAAATACGGCAACGACGTTATCCTCTGTATGCAACTCACTCATAAAGGCCAAGAAATGACGTCATTTTAAATTTTCATGTTAGAGGTATAAAGACTAATCGAGCCCCAATGTTAACACAGTATAATCCAGTTTGATATGTAATTTTAAATTGTTGGAAAACATTTTTTTTTGTGACAGTAAGATGTAGAACAGAAGAGCCATATACAAATATCGGCAGCGTAAATAATCTACACTTGAAAAAAAAATGCGTGAACGATCTTTATCTTGACGTGTAAGAATCGATTCAGATTACAATGTATGGGATCATGAAATAATACTATTCTAAGCGGTGTCAAACAGCTGTGACACCAGTGTGTAGGAATTGACAACGAGTGCCATGTCCCCCGATTTGTTATTCCTTGTATCCAAACAACAAACGATAATCCGATAGGGGCAAATTATGGAAATGTCGAAGTGTACAAGTATCTTATGAAAATATTTCATTGCTGATATATCTTTAATTTTTTGTTACTGAACAAACAAAATTCTAGTGTATGCCCTGTCCGACCATTGATCTAAACCTTTAATCCACTTTACAGAAATATACAAGAAGTGATCCAGAAAAAAGCAGATAAGCTGATTTATTTTTAATAATGAAACATAGTTTCATGCTTTTTATGCTGGTTGTTCCATACATAAGGAAAACACTGATGGATTTTCTTTACACAAAACGTATAGATTAAAGTTGCAAAAGGGCAACATTCAATATTCATGGGCGGGGCAATAGATTTAAAGGTGTTTGATATAAATTTGACGTGATATTTATTTTGAATGTTCATCTGTGAAAGTAAATCAAAATTGTAAACATCATTTTACGCATATTTTCTAAAACAAATGGCGTCACGTATGGGATTGGACGTCATTCATGACTATACACTTGTTATAAATCCTTTATAAAAAACTGGAAATCAAAAATATGCCATGAAATTAAAGGGCAAGAAGAAGGAAAGTAAAAGAAAAAAAGAGAAGTTGTTCATGAGGTACACATTTAGGGAACGTGCAAGCAATGTTACAAAACAGCATCTTTAAGTGGTAAAACTTGTTGTCTGACTGATTAGAATAGGCAAATAAATTACAGCGTAGCAGAAGAAATGTGAAAGTTGAAGATCCTACATAGAAGTCTGTTCATATGAGAGCAGGGTTTATGTTTTCAATAAAGGTCACATTGACCTTGCCTTTGCCTAAGTGACATCAAAATAGTCGGGAATTATAGATCTTGCTGATGGTTTGGGGTCATTCAATTAATTTTTTCAGCCAGGTTATTAACTCGTTTACTAGTATATTTGTACTACTCTCAAATAACAGAAAATACGACAGCTAAGACACACATTTTATCACAAAACATCCAGAAAGTGTGAATAATTAAAGCAATTCCAGGCACGGATTTATATTACATTTATAATTATAATTGAGATCCGTGATTCTAGGACAATGCGCACTTATGAACAAATAACCAGTCCTACTGTATCCCAGTACTTTTATTTTACGACGAAAAATCTTTCTACTGATATGTGCTGTACTTATCATGATCTGATCAGAAAAGAACATTAATATGATTTTTTACAATGTGAATTTCAGTATTCAAAACTAATGCGCTAGCATTTGATATATCTGCAAAGATTATCATATTATAGAATTGAAATTATAAAAAAAATAAAAAGCTCATTATAGAGTTTAATTGTAAACATTGAAATTGTATACTCGTAAATATATATGTATTCATGTGGCTATAAATATATGATCGTGTGAACATTTGTATGTTTTGTTGTTGTTGTTTGTTTTACGTCGCACCAAAACGTTTAGGTCATAGAGCGTCTTTCCGGCGTTACTTGTGAAGCAAGACCTCAGATGCAGTTCCGAGCATTATTTCAGGTACAAAGGGCACCTGAGTAGAACCACCGACGTTTTGAAAGCTCCTCACAAGAAAGAATCCAAAGTCCCAGATGGGATTCGAACCACAGTAGTGAGGGGCAAGTGGTTTGAAGTCAATGACCTTAACTATTCGGTCACGGACGCCTCTCGTGTGACAATATGCAAATTAAACATCATGTTGAACTGACGTCATTTTTGTCTCAAATATATAGGTTACACTGGGAATTGCAAGTGCAGCACAACTGACTGACGCAGCCTGTGGTGAACTGACAGCTTGTACAACTCATGAAAACGTTTGTTTTGTTTTATTTAACTGAATGTGTCCTGCTTCTAAAACTTGTTTATAACTAAACTTATGTATAAAATAATAGTCTCATTATTTTAAATTGAACAGATTTTTCCAATAGGTTAATCTAGGTTTGACAGTTGTGTAGTCGTCAAAAGAATTTCATATTGTAATCAACAATGTATGATAATCACAGAATAGAAATTATTTTAATTACGTGATAAAAGGAATTATTTTGCTTTGGTTTATCGGGTTTTTGTCTTCATGTTAAGCATAAAAGCAAATTCCAAAAACCGAGTTTAGAGTTTTGTCTGAGACAGCAGACATTGAAAAAGGGCAACATTGCTTAGGGAAATGTAACCAAACGGATAGTAATTGCTTTGTTTAAACTAAAATTATTCTCTGTGGAGTACCATTTTTCCTGAAATAAATACTTTTTATTTTAATGATGATCTGAGCACGAACGTTAATTTTGAAAAACAAATCATATAAAAGAGTTGTTGTTTTCAGTGCCCAGCAGAGAAAGCATGTGTTGGAGAAGAAGGAAACAAGTTTTGCCGAGGATGTAAATCATTAAACATTTGAGCCGCGCCATGACAAAACCAACATAACGCATTTGCGACCAGCATGGATCCAGACCAGCCTGTGCATCCGCGAAGTCTGATCAGGATCCATGCTGTTCGCTTACAAACCCTATAAGAAGTAGAGAAACTGAACGCGAACATCGTGTATCCTATTCATACTGCGCAAATGCGCAGGCTGGTCTGGATCCATGCTGGTCGCAAACGCGTTATATTGGTTTTGTCATAGCGCGGCTTATTTATTAACTAATTATGATTCTTGAAGTCTATTCTTTTTGTAGCAAGAACATTGTTCATCAAAATTGAAATTGCAAATTATTGTTAATACACTCCGGTATATTGCCGAACTTTCTATGTACACGTTCAGTTCACTGACCAGTATCACTGTCAATCATATTTATTCTGAATTTTAAATGGACTGTCAAGAAAACAAAACATACATTAAAATAGTCAATCTTATCTTTTTCGTCAACAATATGATATCAAGAGTCAAAGTTGCACTGATGTTTAACTTAAAAGGAAATATCAAAACATATATGATAAAGTCCTTGACTTTCGTTTTTTAAATTTACTTTATTTTGTCAAAGGTAATTGTGAACAAAAGAGTCAATGCGTTCAACAAGGTCAAGGTACAACATGTAATTGCGATGGATATGCTTTAAAAGGACCACGATGCGATTGTGAAATTCAATCATCCAAAGGTGAATATTATATATTTACTTATTTTTTCCATATATATGAAATATGATATACAAACACTGTCAAAATAGCTTAGCTAGAATTTCGAATAATATAAATTGCAGTAGCTCTATAAAGATATAATAAAAAAACCCCCAACCCCTCTCGTCTTTTAAAATGAATTTGTCTATAATGGAAAGTCTACAATACACAACAATACCTGGATAGTATTGAGCATCATACATAACAGCAAACCATGAAATAATTACATGAGCCGCGTCATGACAAAACCAACGTAATGCGTTTGCGACCAGCATGGATCCAGACCAGTCTGCGTATCCGCACAGTCTGATCAGGATCCATGCTATTCGCTTATCAACTCTATTTCAAGTAGAGAAACTGATAGCGAACAACATGGATCCTGATCAGACTGCGCGTATTCGCAGGCTGGTCTGGATTCATGCTGGTCGCAAACCCATTATGTTGGTTTTGACCCATTATATTCGTGGTACATGGTTCAATATTTTATATATTTATATAGCAGATAATAAGCTGTTGTAAAACAAATTATTATTCATTAAACAAATGCCCATACTAAATACCTTGGAACTTAATAAAACATTTCAAGCACTTATTTATAAGAATATCGGGGATTGCCACTCCTTGTGAAAATTATTGGCCTTTCACCAAATTAAATCTGGGCTTTTATTTTAAGATTCGTTAAAAAGTAATCATTGGAAAAAATACTGCAATCAATGTATGATTTTTCGGAAAGGGGGGTTTAAAAGAAACGTATCAACATTTTTACAATTGTATGAGGTAAAGAATTATCAACAGGAAACCGCTTTTTGCTGAAACTACGGTAAAAAGGGGTAATTACTATGTAGACACTTAATGGACTGAAGTAGAATTCGTAGTCGTCTTGTATTTTACAATGTTCCATCTTTGTACAAAGTATTTAAAAGATATATATTCCGGAAAGCATGAAACATGACTGACCGATCGACCGACCAATGAGCTTAGTCTTAAGGCCTCAACAGACGGTAGGATTTAGCTGTACAACACTAATTAGAGGTAAGACGTACAATTTTCAAAGCAATACAACACTAGCATTCAGACGGTAATTCTACACTGTATGAATCATCTGAGGTTTCCCTAAAAAGGATCCCTCCCAACAGTTTAATACCGTGACATAATCATTTTCGGAATAATTTTGGATTCGAACAAAACACAACTTTGGGTCTCTGGAAGAGTTTTTAGTCCCCTACCGGTTTACCGGAGGGGACTTTAGGTTTACCCTCCGTCCGTCTGTCTGTCTGTCCGTCCGTCAGTCCGTCCACAAAACTGGATCCCGCGATAACGCAAAAAATACTGAAAATATTTTAATGAAACTTGATATAAGGATAGATGGCAGTATGGAGATTATGCACGTCTTTTTCTTTTCTTCCTATGTTGAAAATTCTGGTTGCTATGGCAACAAATAGACTGAAAATATGGCAAATTTTACACATAACCTGGATCCAGTGATAACACACAAAAACACAAAAAGTACTGAAAATATGTTTAGGTAACTTGACATATGGGTAGATGGCAGTATGGAAATTATGCACATCCTTTTCTTATCTTCCTATGTTGAAAATTCTGGTTGCTATGGCAACAAATAGACTGAATTTCAAGATTTCTTATTCTAGTTTTTAAGTTTTTTCACTATAAGTTCTTTATTTCTTAAGGTATTTTCTTCAAACTTTAAATATAAGTTGCTTGTCATCAACCACATCATATGTGACAAGGTTTACAACTCTAGTACAAAATTTATCAGAATTACCTCCCTTGAACTTAAAATTTTCATGAAAAAAACATTGTTTTTTTAATAACTTCTTTTTCTGAATGTATCTACTTCAAACTTCATACAAATGTTTCTTATTGTCACTCAACATTTATGAGTGTTCAATACTATAGCAAGACTATTTCCAGAATTATGCCCCTTTTGAACTTAGACTTTTTTTTTGAGAAATTGGTAATTTTTACTCCAACTTCTTCAATCATGATAGGATTTTAAAAATGTTATATTTTGATAACAGGGATGTTTAAAAAATAACTTGATAGTGTCCTTCAGTCCGTCTGTCTGTACATAAAAACTGTTTCCTGTGATCACTTTTAAAGAACTTTTTCAACAAATTTACTTAAAATAGGAACCTAAGTGAATGGCCAATGGCCCTTCAGAATGTTGCTTGGGCTCTTACCGGTAGGGGACTTATGGATTGCTTGCAATACTCTGATAATTGCTTGTTCAACATCATTTTACCTCCCTCATCTTACTACTATGTTTACCTTTTAGCCCTAATTGTTCAGGAATTTCATTCATTACACCCATTATCAGGAGATAATTTGGTAATATGTTACTTGTCATTGTGAGAGGTCTGTAGAAATCTGTTCGACAAGATTTTTAAAATAGAACATGTCTTATCCCTTACATCTAGAATTCAGTAGCCTTCACACATTAAGATTTGCCTGTACATCTTAGTTTTAATTGGTGTTGTACTTCAAAATCCTACCGTCTGTTGAGGCCTTTATAGACACATTCGTTAAACTTCGTTTGTGGTGGTATACAGATAATAATATGAACTTGGATAGTACATGTATTTGTATTTTTGATTAGGCATTCATGTTTTTGTCCTTGATAGCTAACTAACATGGTAGTGTTACAGGTATTTTATAATATATATTTATCTATTTTAATAAATACATGTAATTAGTGATTTACAAGTTCATTATACATGTATATAACATTTTTAGGGCATGCTGTTTGGTTGTTTTACTGAATAAGACATTTCACCATATTTCTTTATATCGTAAACTTCAAACAATTTGCCCCTCACCATTGTGAGTTCAAATCCAGCTAGGAATCTTGTTTTTTGCATATGAAAAAAGCTATCCATCTAGGTATTGGAGAGTCAGTGGTTCTACTCATGTACTCTGGCTTGAAATAATGAACAAAAGAGACACCTGAGATCGACCCAACCATTGAAGCTGGGAATAAGCTACATTACTATTACAGTGTGTTATTGTGATTTAAAACAAAACAACAACCACATATACATTGTACCACGTATACATTAAATTGTTTTACGTTGTCTTTATTTAGATATGGACTGCAATAATTATACAGAATATTTCTTGGTCATAAGTGGTTACAAAATCAAAAACATTCAACCAACGACTACATCAACCTCCGCTGTGAATCAGTGCATAAAACTGTGCAAAATGGATCCAACATGCTTTGCATTTTATCAGTATCATGAATATTATTACGATACTTGCTATCTATATAGTGAACCAGCTGATAAAAATATATTGTTTAACAGTGTTGTCAAAGTACAATCACTTATGTATAAAGTTGCTTTCCGAAAATGCGAAATATTTGGATAAATTTCATAAATGTTCATAATGATGATGATGTGACAAAATTATCAGAATAATAACCCAATTATCAAACACTGAGATGCTGTGCTGATTTTACCTTGCATTTTGTTATCGACAGAACATAATAAATAAATGCTGCATTCATTTTGTTGTTATTTCTATATCACAATACCTGTAACCTAAATATTTTCCAACCAACAACGGCCAATAGCAAATCGGTTACTTTCAGAACGTTCTTTTTTCAAAATCTTTGACATGAGATTTACAATCACTCATCTATTTATCGCTTTATACTAACTTCCGGTTATAAACAATTAAAATTATTGAATACCGAATATTGTGAAAAATAACGTTCCGGAAATGAACTATTTATTGTTGGCCGATTTTAGATTTTTTTGGCGGGAAAGCATTGCAGTTAATCTACCTTTAAAACCGAGCTAAAGTTTGAGTTTAAGCTACAAAAACACAATTGTCATATTTTTTAAACAAATACATACATCATTGTATGTAGATTTTATTCGTTTGAGTAGAACTTCTAAATATCAATAATTTAGGTACAAAACTAAATGATTCTTGCATAATTTATATTTTATATAGATGTATATACTCAATGGTATATTTGGGATTGATAGCCTAGAATCGGCTTGCCCAAAAACATATAAATAATAGATTATAGAATGCACAATCACCTCTGCGAACGTAAAATATTTAAAAGTTTTTTTTATATTACTGAACTTGATAGCATTTTTTTTCCGACGGCCACTCATTTCTTGCAACAATTATCAGATATGACATAGAGGCTTTTATTAATAATTGAGGTGTTAGCGCCATCACTCTAAGTATAGAATTCGTATAAAACATAGGGCAACGAAATATATTGTTTCTGAAAATTCAGCCGAGTGCACTTTTAATACTTGAAAAAGTAGTTAAACAATGCCTGGTTCGGGCCTCATTATAGAAATAGAAATCTCTATATAACCGTGCGCGTAAACAATACAAACAAAATTGTATAATAGTTTGGGGACCTTTCTGTTGAAAATGTTAATAACTCGGTAGTTATGGAACGCCGTGTCTGTCTTATGTGATCAATGTTTTTGCTATCTTGTGAAATGATGATACTATTTTGTCGTTAAAGCATGTTAAAATATGCAATTTACATCATACTTTGTCAAAATACTTGTTCAAGCAGCATGTTAACTTGTCAAATAATCATGATGACATGTGCAGACAACATGTTAACTTGTCAAAGTAACATTATGACTTGTGCAAACAACATGTCAACTTGTAAAAGTATCATGATGACTTGTGCAAACAGCATGTAAACTTGTCGAATTATAGTGATGACATGCCCATGATACTTTGACAAGTTAGCATGTTTTCTGCACTAGTCATCATGAAATTTTGACAAGTAAACATGTTTTCTGCACAAGTCATCATGAAACTTTTTTACAAAATTAAAATGTTGCCTTGCAAAAATGCACAAACCCCAAAAAATTTGACAAGTAGAATTTTTAAGTCAAACACGATTTTCGACATGTTTTCGTTGTCTCAAAGTCCCATAAATTTTTTACAAAATTAAATTCGTTTTAAAAAAATAAAAGATAAAATACGGAAACTCTAACAAGTCATCATGATACTTTGACAAGTTGACATGTTGTCTGCACAAGTCATCATGAAACTTTGACAAATTAATATGTTGTTTGCCCATGTCATCAGCAAAATTCGACAAGTTGACATGCTGTTTGCACATGTCATCACGATTATTGGACAAGTTAACATGTTGTCTGCACAAGTCGTCATGAAATTTTTACAAGTTAACTTGTCGTTTTTACAAGTCATCGTAATACTTTGACAAGTTAACATGTTGTCTGCACAAGTTATCACGATACTTTGACAAGTTAACATGTTGTTTGCACATGTCATCACGAAAATTTGACAAGTTAACAAGTAATAACATTATTGTTTCACAAGATGCAAAAACATTGTTAACATAAGACAGTCACAGCGTTCCATTCTCCGTGATGACAAGGAAAGGGATAACGATAGAAAAATCATAATCATATGCTTGTACATTGGTTACTTTTTCTGAGGTGTCATATTGTGAACGGCTATTTTTGACTATGATACAAAAAGAGAAAGAACATCAAAACACTCGGCAATCCGATTTATACTCGGGAGTACCACCCACGTACAATCAGATAAGCCTCTTGTTTCGATGCTCTTTCTTTAACTAATACCCAGCAAAACCGAAACTTACTCAACCATGCAAGTAACGAGTAGATCTATAATTAATACATAAATAAACATAATTTTATCATTAAATATGATAAACAAGATCAACAAGGAAAGGCGGCGTTCAATAAACGCAACCCCCATGTGACCCAGCAACAAGAACCAATGACAAGGAACCCAGGCGGACCCAAACATAAAAAGGACAGGGCAACGACACGTTAATCATTAAATGATAAATAATTTGTAACTTATTAGGAATTCAAAGAAAATAATAATAGGCCCACAAAGGGGAAGGGGACAGGAGTCCGGGGGAAGGGGGGGGGGTAATCAAAGAAATAAAAAGTCAAAATTGCGTGAAATTAATACACTTGATGTAAAGCGTTTAATCGTGACATTAAATATTCAAAATTTACAAGATTTTCATTTTTAACTAGAACCCCGCGAGTCGGATGTGTCGTATTGGCAACAGTATAGTTGTCTTTTAGAAATATAGATTATTTATAAACACTGCTCTTGCAATGTACATGTAACTTTATCCTTTGTGGCATTTGAACTGAATGTAATAATATAACCTCAGGATTAATAAAACTGTAATATTTAAAAAATAAAAAATACAATGGAAATGTTTTTCACTGATAGATCAATCAGTGACCTACACTGCACCTATTCCGCTTAGTTATTGTTCTTTGTTAATTGTCATACTATATTTCTTTCCAAGTCATTACTCCTATATAACAAAAGCTGTGGACATGAAACTTTATAGGATAACAGATCACATTGAGAACTGGTGCCATGCACAGCATTTTCTGTATCCCTGCAAATCAAAACCTTCAACACAAACCTTTGAACAGTAGTAGCTTGAATACTCTTCGGATGAAATTGAGTGACCTGAAGATATTATTTATTGATGAAGTGTCTATGTGTGGAGCAAATATGTTTAACTTCATTAATCTCAGACTTCAAGAAGTGAAACGCACAACCACACCATTTGGTGGTGTCAGTGTGATTTGTATCGGTGACTTATTTTACATTCATCCTGTGATGGACAGATGGATATTTCAGTTGTCTCCAACAGAATATAATTCACTAACTCCAAACATATGGATAGACAATGCAAGTTTTTGAGCTTACTTAAATTATGCGAAAAGCATAGTCCTTTGCTCAGACCCTCAACATAGTTAGAGAGGGCTAATTCACTAACTCCAAACATATGGATAGACAATGCAAGTTTTTGAGCTTACTTAAATTATGCGAAAAGCATAGTCCTTTGCTCAGACCCTCAACATAGTTAGAGAGGGCTAATTCACTAACTCCAAACATATGGATAGACAATGCAAGTTTTTGAGCTTACTTAAATTATGCGAAAAGCATAGTCCTTTGCTCAGACCCTCAACATAGTTAGAGAGGGCTTACAAATCTTTGATATGTAAATGTGACCAGGGTAGAGAGGTCGTAAGAACTAACGGATGAAGCTCGATAATTCTTTACTTTAAATTTATCTTAATTTTCACCCGAGCTTTAAACACCAGAAAAGATGTTTGCCCGTATTTTCATCAACCGTTTCATAATATCTAATGACATGTGCCGTAATGCCAGTCAGACAAAAAGTTAATAGAATAGAAAATTTACTAGCAGTGCAAGAAGTAGCACTAGTCTTTTCTGGTCCTTCGGGATCATTGATGCCAACACTATTAAGTGTTGAGAATTGAGTACCGCTCCTCAAGCCGGTGCTAGGGGGCGTGAGGGATGTTGCACATTTCCATTATCCCTCATGTACAGACTCAATCAAACCGAGTCTGCAATTCTCTTGTAATTTTGTTGTGATTAATGCTTCCGAGGGATCACTTTGTTTCCAGAATTTTTATACTTCACAACAGCAGGTGTCAAGTGCTGTGTGGCAGCTGTAAAAAGTTGCCCCGTACTTCACTTCAGTGTTGTTATATTTTCTGGTCCTTCGGGATCATTGATGCCAACACTATTAAGTGTTGAGAATTGAGTACCGCTCCTCAAGCCGGTGCTAGGGGGCGTGAGGGATGTTGCACATTTCCATTATCCCTCATGTACAGACTCAATCAAACCGAGTCTGCAATTCTCTTGTAATTTTGTTGTGATTAATGCTTCCGAGGGATCATTTTGTTTCCAGAATTTTTATACTTCACAACAGCAGGTGTCAAGTGCTGTGTGGCAGCTGTAAAAAGTTGCCCCGTACTTCACTTCAGTGTTGTTATATTTTCTGGTCCTTCGGGATCATTGATGCCAGCACTATTAAGTGTTGAGAATTGAGTACCGCTCAAGCCGGTGCTAGGGGGCGTGAGGGATGTTGCACATTTCCATTATCCCTCATGTACAGACTCAATCAAACCGAGTCTGCAATTCTCTTGTAATTTTGTTGTGATTAATGCTTCCGAGGGATCACTTTGTTTCCAGAATTTTTATACTTCACAACAGCAGGTGTCAAGTGCTGTGTGGCAGCTGTAAAAAGTTGCCCCGTACTTCACTTCAGTGTTGTTATATTTTCTGGTCCTTCGGGATCATTGATGCCAACACTATTAAGTGTTGAGAATTGAGTACCGCTCCTCAAGCCGGTGCTAGGGGGCGTGAGGGATGTTGCACATTTCCATTATCCCTCATGTACAGACTCAATCAAACCGAGTCTGCAATTCTCTTGTAATTTTGTTGTGATTAATGCTTCCGAGGGATCACTTTGTTTCCAGAATTTTTCAACTAGTTGGTGTATTAGACTCGACGTTTAAGTCGGAAACGATTTTGGTATAATTCAATTTAATATTTCTAACAGGTGATTTATATTTATAGCAAATAAATGGAATTTCAATTTTTTTGAAATATTAATTGAGGTAGCGAGTCAGTAACGCGTTTATCACTAAAATGTGCCTTTAAAGTTTTCATTAT